TAGGCTAGGAAACTTAGTTTATTGTCTGCCTTCTATGGGAAAATATATTTCCCCTATTTATTGCTTTCCTTTGTGGTGGTTTTGCTACTCAGTAACTTGGGATTTAATCATAGTCAAATTAATTTTCTCATTTTTAGCTGCTTGGTTTGTGAGATTCTCAAAAGGCCCTCCTTACTGCAGGACATTAAAAACATTCACTTACACTGGGGTCTTGTACTAGCACAAGTGTTGGGGCCGTTAAGAGTGTAGCTGGCAGGGGCACCTGGGTGGCTCAGTTGTTAAGTGTCTGCCTTCGGCTCAGGTCATGATCCCAGGGTCCTGGGATCGAGCCCCGCATCGGGCTCCCTGCTCTGCGGGAAGCCTGCTTCTCCCTCTCCCACTCCCCCTGCTTGTGTTCCCTCTCTTGAGCTCTGTCAAATAAATAAAATAAAATCTTAAAAAAAAAAAAGTGTAGCTGGCAGAAGAAGAGCAGAGGGGCATGGTGGAGGTCGGGGAGCAGAGACCAGCCTGATTTATCCCATACTCCCCAGTGGGGCCCAGGAGCCACCATGTCCCTGCCTGGGGCCCAGCGCACAACAGCCTGTGGCCCACTGTGTCCCGCAGGCAATTCCATAAGGCAGACAGCCACTTCTCAATGGCCATCCAGCACAACCCCCAGAAGGCCCAGTACTATCTGCATCGTGCCAGGAGCCGGCAGCTCCTACAGAACATTTTGGGGGCCCGCCTGGATGTTGCCACTGTCCTGCTCCTCAGCCCCAAGCAACCCAAGGTAGGTTCCTGCTGGGCCAGGGGGGGCAGGCTCCAGAGTCAATACTTGTGATTGCCTAAAGATACTCCCTGTTCCTAAAAGAAGTCTGGTTCCCTAGCAAAACTAACAGCTGCCGATGCCAAGCACTTACACCGTGCCAGGTACCGTTCCAGCCACTTCAGCTGGCATTGCTCTGCTTACCCCTCTTCAGCACCCCACGGGACTGCTAACGTTATCCCCTCACCCCCACCCCCCCAATTTGCAGGTGAGGAGGGCAGGGCTCAGAGAAGTCAGTACCCTTGCCCCAGGGCACATGCTTAGCTGTCAGACCCGCAGGAGCGGGCTCAGACACCCACGGCTGGCCTAGTCAGGACGCCCCCTCCTGGTGGGCCTCCTCGCGGGCTCCTCCCAGTTCTGGGGCAAGGAGGTCTGGCCCTGTAAAATCAGGAACTGGTAAACCCTTCCCGCGTCAGCCCTGAGAAGGGCTCTGCGAGGGCAGGGCAGCACCACACCATCTGCCCCCTGCCCTGGCCCACACCTGGCTCTTTCCTGGCAGGTGCTCCCACTGATGGCCAGCCTCTTCCCGGGCATGTCGGTGGAGGAGGTGCTCTGCAGCCAGGTGGCCCACCTGGCCAGGCTGCAGTTGAATCGGGTGTTGGAGAGCAGCCTGCAGGCTGGCATCCCTCGAGGCATTGTGGGGCAAGTTCCTCAAGTGGGGGCCGCGGACCAGGAGTGGGAAATGGCTGGGCATCAAGGCTCCTCCTGTTCCTGCTGCCTCCTCAGGCCACTCTCAGGACCCTGGGGATGGTGGGCTGAGTCAGGGGGGCTTACCCAGCACTCTGGGGCCATGGCTTGGCAGGCAGCTCAGACAGCGGGAACAAGAGCGCCAGAAGGCGCGGGCCCTGCAGTTCTGGTGGAAGCCTTTGTTGGGGACCTCTGAAGAGCTCCAGGCCACTCCCCAGACCCTGACGGGAGAGCCAGCAGTTGTAAACGAAGCTGAGGCCCTCCACGAGGAGGAAGAGGTGAGTGGACCACATGCTGGGGCCTACAGCCCTTGAGGTCTGGGGTGGAGCGTAGCCAGAGCCAGGGCGGAGGGAGGCAGACTGGCTAGAGGATGGCATCCAGGCCTGGTTCTGCCACCACTCTGTGTGACTTGGGCTGGGGTCCTTCTGCTGTGAGATGGAGATGGTACCAATAAGGAGTACCCTTGAGGAACGGCAAGAGGGTGTGGACTCCTCACAGAGAGGCCTCCCCACACCTTGCCACACTCACCTTCATAAATTCTGTGTGCACTGGCCATTTGTGCCAGGATTTTCTTAATCCTTAAATCCGTCTCTAAGAACTTTTTATTGAATGTCACATAAATCTAGAAAAGCACACCGTTCAATAGTGAGTGAGCTGGTGAATTTTCACAAACCAAGTACACCCATGACGCCATTACCTATCGAAAGAACACACTCCCAGCTCCCCGGAAGCCGCTTCCTGCCCCCTGCTAGGCCCCTCCCTTAGCCCAGTGCACCCCCAAGGCTGTCCTGATCCCTAACATCACAACTGAACGTGCATGTTTCTTCACATCAGTGGACAAGTACAGTGTGCCCGCTTGTCTCGGGACTCCCTTCGCTAAGCATGTTTGTGAGATGCATCTAAGTTGACTGCTTGTTCTCATCGCTGGTTGAGAATTCCATCCTGTGAAAGTCCCACAATCTGCCCACTCAACTGCTGATGGACAGCAAGTACCTTTGTGTTCGAAGGAAACTTTATGAAAATGAAGTAGATGGAAGACCAACATCCCTTGCTGTAAATGGGAAAGGCTAGCACTCCAGTTCTCTAGCTCACACTGGAACACAAAAATACAAAACTTTGTGTCCCCCCCGCCCCGAGGTCATTGTGAGCTCCCTCCCTCGGGGAGATGTGGAGCCGGCGCCTGCTGGTTGCTGGGACTCTGCCTGCCCCCTCCCCGCTTCCACACACCCACCACTGCCCGCAGGGGTGAGTGGGCCTGAGGCGGCCAGCAGCCAAGAGCCCGGCTGTGGAGTCCCACAGGCCTGGATTCAAACTCTGCTCCTCTGCTTCTTAGCTGAGTGTCAAGGGCAGGCTGCTTAGGCTCCTGGAGACTTGGTTTCTGGTCCGTGAAATGGTAAAAACGGTAGCTCCCTCCCAGATATGTGGGAGGGTGAAATGGGATAGAATGGTAAGCATAAAAAGCTCAGTTCTTCACTAGCCATTCCCCAGGGTACAGCGCTTTACAGTTTACAGAGGACTGTCCCACATTGAAACTAATTTGCATTTTGCAGACGGCAGACCTGAGGCCCAAGCAGCCTCTTGAACACTACCGAAATTTCTCACAGTGCCCTGCCGGTCGAATCTGACCGCTCCCCTTCCTGTCCAGTCTTCACCTCTCGTGCCACCCAGCCCCAGCTGGGCCCCCTGAGGAGCTCTGAGCCGCTGGCCCAGGGCCTCCCATGGCCTACAACGGCCCCGCTTGTCTTCTGCCCTAGGAGGAGCAGTGGGAGCCTGCACCCAGCAGGATGAGGTCCCTGTCCAACAGCTACCTCGACCAGACCTCTTCAGGCTCCGTCTTCGGCTGTAAGTCCCCAGTGCTCTCGCTAGGCCTGAGTAAGCCAAAGCAGCAGAGTAGGCAAAGGTCAGGGGTCAGAGACTCCTTGGCCTGCGTGTGCATTTGGGCTCTGCTACTTATAGTTCTGTGATTATAGAACAGGAGGAAGAATCCTCACTTTGAATGGGGCATGGTGAGCCCTCAGTGTCTCCCATTTATCCCACAGCCCTGGCCCACCTGCAGGGCTCGGGTTGCCAAGGAGCGCTGGGCTGGCGTCATCTGGCAGACCTTCCCCTTGGCCATGCAAGGCCTCTGGAATAGAGGCAAGGGTGAGGCCTACACCTCCTTTTCCTGGAGCTGTCTGGGCAGGGCAGCCTAACAGATGCTCTTGGCTCATCCTTCCCAGTCAGGACCATGTCCATCTCAGAGACAGAGACGTCCACTATCTGCCAGGAATACAAGAGCACCTCAGCCACTGCTGTGACATCCTCCAACTCCTCACTGCTGAAGACTCTATCCTCAGACCTGCTGGAGAACAGAGAAGACCTAAGCTTGAGCCACAGCCCCAGCAAAACCAAGGCCACGCAGGGCCACAGCCAGAGCCCCAGCAAGACAAAAGCCGCCCAAGGCCAGAGCCGGAGGCCCAGCAAGGTGGAGGCTGCCCAGGGCCAGAGGCGGAGGCCCAGCAGGACCAAGGCCACCCAGGGCCACAGCCAGAGGCCCAGCAAAATGGAGGCTGACGAGGGCCAGAGCCAGAGCCCCAGCAGGACTAAGGCCATCCAGGGCCAGAGCCAGAGGCCCAGCAAGATGGAGGACGCCCAGGGCCAGAGCCAGAGCCCCAGCAGGACTAAGGCCACCCAGGGC